CTAATTACTCAATCATATTAAATAATCAAATGGAATGCAACATATAAACAATTAGATTTAGTGCATATGGGCATAATTCAATGATGAGTTTAAACATTAAACAAAATTAAAATCAAACATTTCAATTTTTAAATAGTAGGGGTCTAAATGCAAATATGAAAAAGTTAGGGGTCAAACCATAAATACTAAAAGTAATACCAAACTTTTCTATAAATTACAAAAACCCCACAAGTGGGAAATCCACTAGGGATGGCCGGCCAAATTAAGGGGAAGTGGGTAGGTCTCACCCATCTTGCATTATTTCAACATAAAGAAGAAAAATATATCTTGTTTGCCACTTAGTTTTGTTTTAAGGACTTTAAGAAAAAGAATGATTGAAATATATATCTAGACAATTCTAGGTATTAATTTAAATTTTAGTGTAGGCTATGGATGGTATGTACATCATCCATAACCACAAAACAATGCATGTAAAACCATTTTCACCAAAAACAAACCATGAACACCAAGAACAAAACCATGAACATATTTTCAAGATTTGTATGTTCTTGGTGATTTTTCAAACCCAAAAAACAAAAGTGACAAGATCACTACTTTCTAGCTTCAAAGTGTGTGTGTGAGGTTCAAAACAAAACACAAACACTAACAAAAAATCCCCATTTAGCCGAACCCCCTTTGAAGAACAAAACCCCAAAATTTTTGTTTCTAAACCCTCTTTTCATTCATGCATCCAAAACATTTTTGCATACATATCTTTCTCAACTATTGATACACCTTTTCAACATTTGAAAAAGACAAAAGATAAACATATTTTGAATGAAAAACAATTTAAACTCAAACTTCATTCATGCATCAAAAACACTTTTCTTGCATATCCTTTTTCAACTTTTGATTTACAATTTTTCAACACTTTGAAAAAACAAAAGATAAACATATTTTGAATGAAGCAATAATATGACATACATAAAATTAAAACCCATATGCATAAAATCTAAAAGGACACATCATACATAAACCTTTGGCTCTGATACCACTTGAAGGGAAAATATGAGATTTATGTGGGATTTCTAGTGACTAGCATGCATATACAATTCAAAATTTATATACGAAAGCAACGGAAGCATGTCATACATTTTATCAAAGCTATAGTCATGCAAATCCCCTTCAAGATGCATAGGTTTATATAAGATGCATCAAAAACAATTTATTGAAGAACAAAGTTTAGGAGTAGTTTTATACCTCTTGATCTAGATCTAAGACCAAGGATTGACCACCTCCAAGCTCTTTGCTCCTTGAACTCCTTGAGCCTAGCCTCCCTCCTTGCCTCCTCCACTTTGTTGAGAATGAGTGCTCCTAGGTCCTCTTCAAGTTTCCAAAGATATGAAAACCTCTAAAGATCCTCACCCACTTTGTAATGAGAAAGATGAAGGAATTAACCAAAGGGTGATAAGATAATTAGCTAATACTTCCCTTTGGTGGCCGGCCTTTGAGCTTAGAGAGAGGATGTTTTTCTTTTCTTTTGTGTATTATGAACTACCTAACACACTCTCATTATTATGTTTCTTTTATTTCTTAAAGAAACAAATCAACCATTGACTTACTCTCTCTCCCTTCTCATTTGGCCGGCCTATTGTGTTTAATTTGGGCTTTGGGCTTTTAATTATTTCAAGTCATCCAATGCTTGAATAAAAGCCCAATGGGTTTTGGCCCAATGGGCCCGATTAAACCCGAACGTTTCTTTAAGCCCAAAACGATCTTTATCGCTTTTATGATTTCTTTAGACTTTCTAAATTAATCAAAACACTTAATTAATCCAATTAATTATTTCCTTCATCCATTAGTTACTCACTACAAGAGTGTATCGGTGAACAATCTTTTAGGTTCTAATTAGCAAGGCAGTGAGGTGATTGGCACCAATCCAATTGATTATCCAATCACTTAGTGATTTAAAACTTACTTTTAATTCACCTTCCTTTTAATGACTACATTTAATCATCTAGAAGAACTCACAAGCCATGAGTGACATCTAATCATATATCATGGCTACCCAAGCTAATGTAGAAGTTATTCGGAGAACCTATTCAGTTGGAATTACAATGTAATTCGATCCTTCTCTAAAACAATACTCTCAATCACATTACTAGGGTATGGATTTATAATGTCAAACCCCTAATGTGATTATTCCTTCTTATACGATTCATTTGAGACGTATAGGAACGCTTTCCTTTATTACGCTCGATACTTCGGCCGAAGATTCCCGAATCATATCTTAGAGTATTCATCCTCTCTTATCGAGGATTAGAGATTCCTTGTTGCGCATTCACTTGCCTTCATGGCTAAGTGGCTTAACCCCAACGATGCCTTGAACACTCTCGAATGGAATGACTTTAACATAATCAAAGATTAAGTACTTAACCACAAGACAACGAGATGCCTCAGGTCAAAGGATTACTTACATTATTCCAACCATTAGAGTTACTTGCTTGACATGTGAGTAGACCTCCATGCAAGTACTCTCGTTCGATTGTGTTCAGTGAACTCATTCCCTTAATGAGCACCCTACATGCTTGTCTTAGTGTCGCTACACGAATGGGATGAGACTTTCCATCCTTCCAATTGAAGCGGACATAGTATGTACCAGTCTATGGATTGTCAGTATCCCTCCGACAATCCTTATGACCAGGAACCTTTTTGGACATGATGGTTATGAGAAGAAGGTCTCTGTAATCTAACATCATTAGGTTACTTCTTCCATCAATCCATTGTCCATGGATTCACTATTTAGGACATATTTCGTTCATTGAGATAGTCTCAATTAGTATCTTTGCCTTCCGATGTATAAGAGTCATATATACATCAATTCATTGTCCTGAAAGGTTTCTTCCAAAGATTGACTTTCAGGGCATATTTCCAACATTGCTTGTGAAAGTGGTGGTTCAGGTGTTGCCTTCATATGCTATGAATTGCTTTTTGCTTCCAAAGACTTTTTGTGATGAGTTACATCAATTAATGGCTAGGTTTTGGTGGGGTAGCAACCTGGACTCGAGGAAGATCCATTGGAAATCATGGGATAAGTTGTGCATTGCTAAACCTGAAGGTGGTATGGGGTTCCAGAATCTTTATGCTTTTAATTTGGTGGTTCTAGCAAAACAAGGTTAGCAAATTATCCAACATCCTGACTCCTTGATGGCGAGGTTGTTGAAAGCTAAGCATTTTCCTAATAGTTCCTTTTAGGATACCCCGATGTCTTCTTCTTCTTCCTATTGTTGGTCTAGTATCCTTAAAGCTAGAGTGGTGTTGGAGAAGGGTTCAAGATAGTTGATTGGGGATGGGGCTTTGGTGTGGGGTTGGAAGGATAAGTGGGTGCCGCGTCCATCGACCTTTTGTCTCATATCAATGCCGCCTCATTCTGGGGAAGATATGAGGGTTTGTGAGCTCATAGATGTGGATAGGAAAGAGTGGAATGACTCTATGTTGTTCGATTTTTTTGAGGATGAGGACATGGAGTATAACTGTGTGTTGCCCATTAATTATCGGCTTTCGCCAGATAAACTAATCTAGCATTATAATGACCGGGGTTTTTTCACTGTTAAGAGTGCATATTAGGTTGCATGGGATCATATCAAGCCACTAACATTAAGTGCATCTTCTTCTGCGTCAGGAGGTAGTCCATTCACTCCTCTATGGAAGGCTATATAGAAGGCCAAAGTCCTACCAAAAGTGCAGAATATGGTGTGGATAACTTGTCAAAATATCCTCCCAACGAAAGAGAATTTATTGAAAAGGGGAGTATCATTGGATTTGACATGTGTTTTTTGCAATGGAGCACCGAAGACGGTGGTACATGTTCTTAAAGAGTATCATTTTGCTAGAGCTACATGGTTTCCAACCCCGTGCAGCTTTCTGGTTGATTCTGTCATGTGTGGTTCGATCAAGGAGTGGTTTCTATAGTTGTTACAAACTAAGAAATCTGCTTTTGATTTTATTTGTATGGTGGTCTGACATATTTGGTAGGCGAGGAATGATCGTATTTGGAATGGGAAGCAAGAGGTCCCTGGTGCTGTGGCCCAAATAGTTATGGCATGGTTGTAGGAATTCCAGGAGGTTGCAGACAGTGCACTCACGGTACAACAGCAAATTTCATAGGTTAGGCAAGAGGATGACAGTGGTTCAGTGGTTGGAGGGGTTGCAAAGGATTGGATAAAAGTGAATGTGGACGGAGCTACAAAATTGCACGACCAGGTGTGGGGGTTGGTGCAGTGATCTGTGATCCTAATGTTTCCTCGACACTTCATGCTGAATTGTTAGCGCTTAAGCATGGCGTGGAGTTGGCTCAACAGCTTGGCTATCAAAAGGTTCAAGTCGAAAGTGATTATGCTCAAGCAATTTCCATTGTTAACTCTTGTGTGGATTGTGCTTCTACTATGGACTTGCTGGTCGGAGATGTCTTACATAGTGCAACTTTTTTTTACTGCTTCAAAGTTTATTTCTATTTCTAGGAATAATAATGGTGTTGCCCATTGTTTGGCAAAGGTAGTAGTGTCTAGTGGTACTTGCTTAGTTTGGATTGAGGAGCCTTTAATTGTTATTTTGGATCTCCTCATCCAAGGAACATGTAATATTTCCAAGTTAATGATATTGTTTTCTTCTTCCAAAAAAAAAAAAATATATATATATATATATGTATATGTGTGTATATATATATATATTATCTTGTTTTGAAATGAGCAAAAAGAAATCCCCTCATTTGAGGATTTGGATCCCATCAAGATCCTCTTTGTGAAAATCTTAGAGATCTTCACATTCTATTTGTTTATTGTATATCGTGCGATAAAAAATTATTTTAATTATTTTATTTAAAATTACTTAATGATTTCTGACTGCATAATAAGATCTTCACATCCTATCCGTTCATCTTAAATCATGCAATCAAAAATTATTTTAATTATTTTATTTAAAATTACCTAATAATTTCTAACCGCATAATATTCTGGAATATCAGAGAGTATCCTCATCCCTCGTTTGAATTTGAAAACCCCCGGATAAAAACCACCACCGCCGTTTTTCTGTACATTTTTCAATTTCTCTCTCATCACTCCACTCTCCATCTCAACACTCTCAAAGTTCATAACCCAAAACTCATTCCTTCTCTCTCCATCACATCACTCCTACACCCTCCGAACCATCGCGCCATGACAGCTGTGCCTCCGCCGGCGCCAGGCCGAGAGCTCTCTAACCCCCCCACCGACGGCATCTCCAACCTCCGCTTCTCCAACCACAGCGATCACCTGCTCGTCTCCTCTTGGGACAAGGTACGCCCTCGCCTTCTCCTACCTCTCGCCACTTTTCCTCTCTAATCCCTCTCTCCCTCTCTCTCTCATTCGCAGACCGTCCGATTGTACGACGCCAGCGCCAATGTGCTGCGTGGAGAGTTCATGCACGGCGGTCCCGTACTCGATTGCTGCTTCCACGACGATTCCTCTGGGTTCAGCGCCGGCGCCGACAACACCGTCAGGCGGTAATTAAAATCACAAACCTAAAATCCCTAATTTTTTCTGCTTGGTTGCTCGGAAATTGCTGTAAAAACCCATCTCTTAACTCTGATGCTTTGTGTATTCCTCTATGTCAATACCCCAGGTTCGTATTCAGCTCCAGTAAGGAAGACATCTTAGGAAGGCACGACGCGCCAGTGCGTTGCATCGAGTACTCTTATGCAGCAGGTATGTTCTTCAAACCATCAATTTTAACATTTGAAAGTAGTTCCAATCAAAACTTGAAGAACTTTTCTGAAGAATTTTTTTGCCCCAGATCGGTTGATTGATCAGATTTTGTAGCGTGCGTAGTTGTAATAATTGCTTTATTAGTATGAATGGAATTTTGACGTTTAATGACTATAAACGACCTTAAATCATGATCTCTGCTGTAATTGGTATTTCCGGTAATCACATTTAATTATGTAAGTTTGAAAGCAAAAAAATTTGTTTCCTTATAATGTAAGACTCCGAGTTTGTAACCAATTCTCTTATGTGCAAATAATATCAGGGCAGTTGATCACTGGTAGTTGGGATAAAACAGTCAAGTGTTGGGACCCTAGAGGTGCAAGTGGACAGGAGCGAACTCTTGTTGGGTCATACCCACAACCCGAGCGTGTTTATTCTCTTTCACTTGTGGGAAACCGGTTAGTGGTTGCAACTGCCGGAAGACATGTCAATGTCTATGATTTGAGAAATATGTCCCAGCCTGAGCAACGGAGGGAGTCTTCGTTAAAGTACCAAACTCGATGTGTACGTTGTTATCCTAATGGAACAGGTAACTTTAATAGCTTTTCTGTTTCCGGACACTACCTCACAAAAAATTTCTTTCTTGCACTTAGTACTTTGGGTATTGCGTTGCTTTGTGGCTAACCATCCCCACTGGTTTTCCTTGCTCACAGAAAAGGGCTTTTTCCATTTTAGGGTACCTTTAAAAAAAATATGAGCTACGAAATATAAGTTGTTTGGGGAATGGAATTGATCAATGTTGTTGGTTGTTTCATGTTTGATTCTGTGATCACATTTTGCAGGTTATGCTCTTAGTTCTGTTGAAGGACGGGTTGCAATGGAATTTTTTGATCTTTCGGAGGCTAGTCAAACCAAAAAGTATGTATGCAGCTATCAGTGAGAAATTTTGCTTTACATTGACTGATATTTTCAGTTTCATTGCCTCGTATCTTTAGGAATCCTTTAAGATGTACACATCTTTGATGCCACCACCACTAAATAAGTTATTGATATATGAATGATTCTCTCTTCATAACCAATGTACACTTGTAGATTTTTCGGTAGAATAACTGTGGCATTCCTCTATGGTCACTGATTTGTGGCTGGTCAACTGGTTTGGAGATAGGGCTCTCTCAAGGATACTATTCTTCACAATGCAGGCATGCATAAATGTAATATCATTCAAACCGCGTCTTCATTCTTAATTTATTAATGTTATTAACCTTTGTGCAGATATGCATTTAAGTGTCATAGAAAATCAGAGGCTGGAAGGGACATTGTGTACCCAGTAAATGCAATTGCATTCCACCCCATGTAAGTTACTTTCCTCCGTTAAAGTTTTGCGTACTAAACTCGTAAACTTTTTATGCGTTGATTTATTGATGTCATAAAAAAGATAGATCATGTCTGGTTTCCTATTGAAAGCATCTTGTAGCTACAATAGTTACATCTGGGAATTTCGTAGTAGTCAACTTCATTCAAGGTTTATTCTCTGGTTGAATGGTTTGGAAAATAAGGATCAGAATTGGTCCTTGTTTATGTGATAGATTATGGCTTGGATTATACTTGATCTATGAGTCGGGATTTAGGTATTTAAAACCTAAATTAAGCCCCAGGGAGGCTTTAGTAGTTTCGGATTCACTTACCTCATGCTTTAATAAAGTTTATCAGAGGAGTTTGAGAATGAGATTCTTGTACATCATTGACTGTCATGTGGACAAGCTACTTTTCCCTCTCAGGACAGTGAAAACAGCAATAGTCTAGAAATTGGTACATACTTTCGCTTGATGAGAGTTGGGATCATACTGCTTATTGTATGAGTAGTGATGCTAGCAGTTTCTTTAGTCCATGTGCATTATCTTATTAGTCCTTTTATGCAATCCAATTGCAGCTATGGTACTTTCGCTACTGGAGGTTGCGATGGCTATGTGAACGTATGGGATGGGAACAACAAGAAGAGGCTGTATCAGGTAATTTTTTGCCTTAGGTGACACTGATATATATGATTTTTTGCCATGGAGAAGTTACATTTATAACAAATTTTCGATGTGCTCGTCTTTGCCAGTACTCCAAGTACCCAACAAGCATTGCGGCGCTTTCTTTTAGCAGAGATGGCCGCCTGTTGGCTGTGGCATCAAGTTACACGTATGAAGAGGGGGATAAACCGTAAGCACATCTCTGTCTTTTGCTCCCTATCCATCACTTTACTCATCTGTCCATCCATGTTTGTGTCCATCTAATGTGTCATCTGTTCATCTTGCAGCCACGAGCCAGATGCCATCTTCATTCGAAGCGTAAATGAGATAGAGGTCAAGCCAAAGCCAAAAGCGTACCCTAATCCGCCAGCGTAAATGAAGTATTTTGCCTTTCGTATTAGTTACTCCGGATATGTTTGTTTAATTTGACGATGTAAGGTTCCAAAATATGTAAAGAGACCATGTGTACCAGTCTTCGGCCATCTTCCGAAACTTCTTCCGCTGTTAGAAACGATGATGCTTTGTAACGCACTTCTTATGATTTCATCTTACATAGAATGCCTCATTCCAATCGGTTTTTGAGTTCATTTTTATCACCTTTTGTTGATTTTCCTTCTGAAAATCCTTCAAGTTTATGTTTTTCTTGCTTAAAAGAAATAGAAATATGGTAACCAAATTCTTCCAAAAATAACATAAAAATAAAGTCGTTACTCGAAAGTATCGGCATAAATACAAGGTGTATGATACCCTCGAGTAAACGCTGAACGCGCTTTCTAAATAGTTTTGGTTCTACAAGCTGTTTGTTTCCCGGGAGACAACATTCCATAGGTTATTTGACATAAGTCTTTCCCGAAACTACCTGCATATACGGGATCAGAAGCATCACAAAATGGGTCGTTGTAATCGCTGTCTTAAGCCAGAACCCGGCTCCAATGCACTAGCTACGGAAGAGACGAGAGGGCTAGCTCAAATCCTTCCTTTGTATATTTATTTCTTTGCAATCACCTAAATCCAGATGGAGCTGCTTGTGGACCACCCACTGCTCCTCTCCTCATAGCTCTCGATTGAGAAAGCATCTCGTCGTAATTCTGAGCAACGAAATTTTCTTTCAGAACTTGCAAGACAGGCGCAGCAGAGAGATTAATGGAAAAAAATTGCAACAAAAAAAGTACCCGTTTCTCAAATGCTGCATCACGTGAATCTATTATCTTGTCTACAATTCCGTACTCTATGGCTTCTTGTGCTTGAAAATACTTGGGCCGCCGGACATCTTTAGATAGTTCTTCCTTGGACTTCCCTGTTCCTTTTGCAAGCAACTCAATGTAATACTCCGTGTTTGCATCCAATTCCTTGGCCTGATAGAAGTTTTTCAACAAAACATGAGTGAGAGGGGATGGAGAGAAAATGGAGAGCGGAGAACGAGCGACGAAGTACCTTAATCCACATGTCGATGACTGACCCACTTGACCTGCTGACCTTTGGTAAATATAATTTTGCTGCGATTCAGTATAATAACAGTGATCAAAAAGTGCACAAAAATAGGGGTGCAAAAAATAAAACCCTCTTTACAGCTTCCCGTATTGCACGAAAATGTGTCAAAAGTATGCTAGATTTGAAGATGGAATCATACTGGAGGAATTTGGCTGTACAGCACGATAACCCTTTGCTCCAAGTGACAGAAGCAGTGCGGCTTGACCATATGCCATGCCACAATTCACAGTATACACGTCTGATTTGACATACTACATGCAGATAAATCAAAATTAGGTCAGACAGTTTGGTAGGAAAAGAAAATGCTAGGGCTTTTCAACGAATATTATTTCCCGATGAGATGACAGACTATATATTGGCATGGCACTGATTATTGCACATTTGCAAAAATATATCATCCTATATAACGGACAAATATATCATCCTACATGGTGAAAATTACCATTGTACCTGTGTAACTTAACTGATTTCCAATTTATAAATAGACATAAAGAGAAAACCTCCAAGAGTTGATAATAATACTTACACTCATCATGTCAGCTATCGCATATGCTTCGGTTTCAGATCCAACACTCTCCATCTTCTCATTCTAAAATGCACCACAAAATTAATACGGATAGGTAATACTTTGAATTAGTGAAAATGATGGGGGAAACCTTTTGATGTTATATTGCACTCATAATTACTTCCAATACTAACCTGTGTCCCCGATGAATTTATGTACAAGTATATAGGTTTAGAAGGGTTATCATAATCCAACCACATAAACTGAGCGACAAGAAGCTCAGTTACTGCTGGTACAATCTACAGAAGTCAGATAAAAGTAAAATGCTGAGTCAGTACAAAATATAAAAATGGTTCGTGAAGAAAGAATCTTGTTGGCAAAAATATAATTAAAATACACACACACACACACACACATATATATATATATATATAATCTCTTACGGGCATGCCCAAATAGCAAATCCGAGCATCTAAAAGTAAGGAAGGCAGATCAGGAGGAGCAGTTCGGGGTCTTCCATTTCCTCTTGCACCTCCCCGATACATGCTCACACTCATACTGTATTGTGAAGGGCCCTTGCCATCCATGCCTGAAATGCTATACATCCCTCCATGATTCAAGTAGTTGTTGGCAGATGAGATGCTTTGCTGTGAAAATTTTTTGGATAAGAACATGTCTAGTCAGTTGATATGCCATATTTAGTATAGTTTAACTGAAATCCACTTAGCCCTTCTGTTAATATCGAGCTACTTAAAATTGGTTAAGAATCTAAGATGCATAGGGAGTGAACCTCTGTAACTTTTTCTGACTGACGTCTGGCAGGATTATCTTCTGTCATGAACATGTCCATTTGGGTAGGAGAAAGGCCATATAGATAATGGGGCACATTCTTAAAATTATCCATCACTGCACATGAGAACAATGAAGAATGTAAGGAGGAAATTAGACTTTTTCATTCTGATTATAATCGGCATTCCAAGTTTCTTTGGAAATTAAAGCATCAGAAAACTCACGTTTCAAATGAGCATAAAAAGGATTAAATCAAATTGCACTATTGATATATCAGAAGAATCCCTTCAGATGTTAAGATCCATGATAATGGCAAGCTTAAAAACCTTGATATTAATTGTTAAGGTACAAACTTTCCCCATCGAATACAAAACAGAACCCCCCTCTTCTAGCATGTGTAGGTATTGATTTTGTTTCCCTTGCAAACCCATTTTCAAGAGCAAGTTCAACCCATGAGTTCTAAACTTTGGTATCAGAGCATGAAAAGAGGGACTTAAGGTGCTAAGTCATTGAATACTGGTAAGTGAGGAAGATTACAAAAAGTGAAGAAGGCAAATATTAAATCGGTGTCAATACATACAGTAAGCTGACGAGGCAATCGGGCTTTGAAACCCATGTCCCACATTGAAAATATAGACCATTCCGACATAGGCAACGATTGCAAACCAGTTTTACACAAACAAGTTGTTAACATCAATGGTTACAAAACCTTTATCGACATAGGCCATAAATAATGCCGAAGTATAATAAGCATTGAACTTTTAGTACTTTTGGGTACACTCAACCACTACACGTAGACGTAAACTAATCCAAATTATACAATCCTCAACTACGCGCTTCTCCTGACTTCTCCAACCAAACTATGGTAAGTCTCATTCTACTTTAGACGTACCAATAGAGCACAACCACTCTAGTTCAGCCAATAGTTCCTCTTCCTGTATATAATGATGCCTGATAGTAATATGGCAACATGAAATTGCCATCAATTCTGTCTAAATTTACTACATTCAAACAAATAAAACCTATTGTCCCCTCAAATATCATGCGCTTAACAACTAAATATTCAAAGTCTCACCTTTCCCTATATTCACCTCCTTACGCAGCAACCCAATTGAAATTTGAAACCTCCTAAATCCCAAAACCAAAAAAAACATAAAAAAAATAAAAATAAAATAAAACCCACATAGGAAATTTGATTCACCACAGAAATGAATCGCAAATTCCCACTTAAAACAAAATTGGAAGACATGGAGGGTAGTGAAGACTCACATCCATCTTTGAGATTTTCCTGCCTAAACTGCTTGGGAACGTGGTCCGAAGCTTTGGCATAAGCAGACTTGAAGCGTCTCTGAGCTTTCAATCTTCCGGAAGAGAGAGGTGGAGCAGCGACGACCTTGGTGCCGTGAAGGAAGGTGTTTGGGATCCCAGCATTAAAGACGCCTGCTTGTCGACCTTGGATGCTGTCTACGGCGGCTGACGGCGGAGCTGAGAGCGGAGAAAGCAGAGAAGTCGCCATGAATAAACAGAGAGGGGGACTTCTCGGAGCTGAGGACAGTGGAGTTCTGCAGTATGAATGTTAATTTTGGGAAGCACACAGGGCCAAGAGAAGTATGAGGTTTTGGTGCATACGTGTGGGATAGGGGATGGTCCAGAGTCCATAATCCATGGGCTCGCGGGTGTGGGTTGGGTCGGATCTATTTCTATTGATGGGCTTGAATAGATGGATACATACCGTGTGAGAGGGTCCTAATTGGGCCTCAAAGTACGTAATTGAGAGTGTTTATGGTATGTTCTATTGGAACTCCACTTCAATCTCTCTTTACCCCTTAAAACTCAAATTGTGTGACATTACCTCTTGAAATTCAAGTTTTGCATCACTTGAAAACGTTTTGTTAATTCCGTAAAAAAAAAAAAAAAATCCATCAAGTCTACTGATGTGGCATGGCTAGGCTCACATATTGCTATTTTGATTGCCATGGTGTACAAAACAATATTTTGATATATTAAAATTGTTTTCGACATGGCGTAGAAGGTCATGGTGCTTCGGTAGTGCATCAAGTCCTTGTTCAGATCTTCATCTCCCCTGAACGAGGTGAAATGTGGTAGGTTGAACTTCCACGGTGGCTCCATCTGCTCAATCTTGTTTGAAAATGGTGACCTGCTCACATTGGCCACATCTCTACGAAGGGCATCATCGGTAATGTCAATGCACTGGAATCTGCGCAGCTGCTATGCTACGAGCCTTTGTACTTCCTTCTGGATTTGTGCTTGGTGAGGCAACGGAGCCTCCAACTGCCCCCGGTGTTGTCATGTTGGTCTATGTTGCTCTTCGGCATGTTCTGCTCGTCTGTGTCGCGACTGCAGTGCACGTGGTTGGCCCTGTGCTGCTCGCCGTTGCTCTTAGCGGGGGCTGTCAGCGAAACTTGAGCTGGACTGCTCACGTGCTCTTCTCTGGGCATCATGTGGTTGCCTATTCCGTTGCTCGTATGAGTATTTTCTTGCGAGCCTAGCCTCGTGTAGACAATTTTCCCAAAATGTCCTGAATGCTCATCGGAGTACAGACCCAACCTCAAATGCACACTGACTTATGAGTCGAGTCGAGAATGAACGCTTTTTTGTGCATCTATACAGGAGAAGATGTTTCCCCGAGGACCCAAACGAAAGTGCACACTACCCGAACTCACGGTTCATGACGGGCAGAGCGGCTCTTTGTCGGGACGTCGCTAGAATGAGTCACATTCTTCCGCCCTTGTCCTGCTTCGGGACACCTCGTCTGGGGTGCACTGTATCTCGATGCGTTTGAGGAGTTGGTTCACCAAGGTGGTTTGGTGCGTGAGGGCATTCGTCAAATTGGCAACCTGTTAGGGCAGGTGGTGCTCATCATTTGGATTGGAAAAGTCTGGAAAATGAGCATTTCCATGTGTGGTGGAAGTATAGTGGATTGTAGGTACAAAGATTGAGCCCAAAACGGACATTCCTGTAGAAAAGTGGGTGAAAGTAACCCTGAATCAATCGCGGGACTAATGGTCCGAGTTAGGATTCCTAGATGTGACCTTGGAATGGACTGGGCCGCGGGCCGAGTAGTCGAAATGGGTCGTGGGGCGCGTTGGACCAGCGCCGGCTCGCCTTGGACCTGTACAACCATGGGTTTTCCTGGTTATTGGGCTGCCACATCATAGTCTACTGGCTAGGTGGCTTGTGCTTGGGCTCATTAAGTTGCTTGGCTAACAGCAGCTGCCACATTCTGGGCTCAGATTTAGGCCTGTTGTGCAATTAGGCCTTTTATTGCAATGGGTTGGGCCTCCTGCCCATGGGATTGGAAATGGACCTGGGCCTGCTGCCTAAGGTTTGGTTTGGTGCGGCGCTGTAAAGGCAACGACGGTGGGAGTGATGTCGTGGCTACTGGGTTACAGTGGTGACGGTAGTCAGCGCCTCCGTTGCCATGGGGCTCTTTCTACCGTCGCATTGAGCCTTAAGGACCTCTTTAGTGGGGCTATATCTTCGTCTCCACTTTCCGGTCCAAATCCTTGCACATACGGGGTTCCATTTGTCGTAGTTTCTAAATTTCCTACCATTGTATCCTTTCTCTAGGGATTGATCAAGAAACTTATCTAGGAAAAATTAATTCATACGACATGTGAGAAATTCTACATAATAGAAAATTCAAGAAACTAATGTGAGATGCTTCTTCAAGTATTTTGAATCAGCTCTCAATGAAAGCACCAATTTTTCGATGTAAATTTCCGTTGTCTCCAATCTTGACGAAAATGCACCTGCAAAACAATCAACACCTTTGATCAGAGACCTAAGCCTCACACACCCACGAGGTGGGGGGAGGGGGGGTTAGGTCAACGGATCTCTGATGCCTAAGTTAGTTTCTCTGAGAGAGTAAAGTGTTTAGGGCTTTTTTAGGATTAGAAAAGCTCTTAAAATTTGGTAGAATATGGGGTATTTGTAGGAATAAGGACAGTTATAGTGTTTAATGGAGAGATATTCTCTAATTATTCCCAAGATATTAAATAGGAAATAATATCTTGAGATAATGGTGTAATTATCCCTAATTTATTTAAATTAGGATGACTTACTTGATTGAAGTCAATCTTCAAATGGGAATGTATTAAAGATAGGATTTAGGTAATTAATCTTTATCTTTAATTCCTTATCAAGAGCAGGTGAGTTGTGGGCAATCGTATTCAGCTGCTGAGACCTCCAGGGATGTGAGCTACGCGTGGGAGCATCTGGGAAGTCTGCCCATTTATTGAAGGCAATCTTGTTTTTCTTAAATAAAAGTTCATGTGTCGCCTCTAGAATTTTTGGGATTAGTTTAGGCTCCACAATATCTATCTTGGAAGAGGAGGTCCTGAATAAGACAAAGAGGGTCCTCGAACCAAACTAATTCATTGCTGATGGAAATAACAAACTTAGATCTATGGGCTATCCCATTACAAAACCTTGGGATGTGCACAAACTATGTTGGGGTAAGGGAGGCTGCCACTTGCAGAGCGTCCTTTGCTAGCAGGCCAAACGTCGACAAATCTTAAGAGTGATTTGTGATTGCAGCAATAGCCAATGTGGAATTGCTCTCTGCCATAACATATCTAACACTAAACTACTCGCCAAACGGAGTCCCTCTAGCACTATCAACAGCTCAACGTGGAGTGTAGTCTCAATCCCGTCCTTCCGCCACGCTCCATCAACAAAGAACTTCCTAAACCAATCTCTGATTACCACCCCCAATCCACCCACATTATGCTCAAGACTTGTAGCTCCATCCACATTAACCTTGATCTACCCATCAATATGAGTCCTCCATTTAATCTAAGGTAATTGCTTTGGGGCTATCTGCTGACCACTAGCCAATCTAAAAGCATGGTACCAACTGACCACTCTTTGAACCACCTCCATTGGCAGCCTATATTCCTCTAGATTCTGTTGAGTTGGTCTAGAATCCAATTTCTGATTCGGTTCATTTAAGTTAGTCTGAAACTCTATATCCTTTGGATTTCGTTAAGTTGGTCCGAAATCCCACTTCTGATTAGGTTTAGTTGAGTTAGTTTGAAACCCTATATTCTTCCAGATTTGTCGAGTTGGTCTAGAATCCCACTTCCGATATGGTTTCGTTGAGTATTCTGGAATCTAATGATTCATGCATGTCGAGTTCCATTGAGTGGTCATTGAATAAGTAATGCCATGAGAAATTGTGGAAGTCATTGCAAGTACAAGTTTTTTTAAAGCTTGAAAAAATGGTGAACTATGATTGGCTTAATCCCTTCACATGATATATAAACAGTCTAACCCTAAGGTTAGGTGCAACCTACTTCAACTCACAACTAAGCATTCATAAGTTGGAAAGATGCCAATGTTTGACCAAAAATAACCTTACAAAATGTTTTAATGGCAGAACTGAAAAATATAATACACAAACTCTTTTTAGTTCCCAATGTTCTCAAATTTAATTTTCCTCTACAACAAACAGATCAGTGCATGTGAGGATTTTTTTTTTTTCCTTGTTCTTCTTCTTCTTAGAAAACAAAATAAAAATGAAAAGACAAAATTACAAAGATGAGATAGTAAAATATGGTCTAGTTTCCGGGTTTCCTCCTATGTTCTGTGAAGTTTCCAATTCATCTCTATACCACAGAAAAGAAAAAGGAAAAAATGTAATAATGATTATCCAGATTAATACAAGTAATTAAAATAAAACCTAATTCGGTAACCAAAACCCTAGAATGGAAGTCATTATGTGCAGCTTTACTTGTGCCTTCTTTCACTTCGCGCGCACACACACGTATAGATATAAAACAAAGTAATACAGTCATATCGGAGTCTAATTCTTTCCCCTACAAATCCTCTCATGTTCCTCTCTTCTCCCCTCCCCTCCTTTGTCACTTTCTTCTTTATTTTTATCTCTTTAAAACAAAGCTAACATAAAATAATGATGTTGCTTAATTGTGACCGTCAAATAGAAAGAGATTAAAAGAAAAAAAATTTTGGAAGAGAAAGAATTCGACTCCCATACTCCTTCAAACTTGTAGGGCAGCATTTGTCATGGAGCGTGCCAAAGTTAATTTGACCCCGCCACTCTCACTATGACTTGGACAACAAGCTTACGTACCTCCCCATGTCCACGTGTCCTTGTGCTGATTCTATTGCCTTCCGACCACTTGTTTAGCCACAACTGCATGGTTTCTCTCTTATGCCTCCAAGTATTATTTTAGGGTAAAGTAGGATATTATTTAAAAGATTTAACTTACAAGAAGAAGATAGTTTGTACTGTTAGAAAGTCAATGTTCTAAGTTATAATTGTTTTGTATTTAATTTTGTATTTTATAATTGTAATTCTTCTTAGTTTGTAGGACTATCTATTGTACAAAGAAAGTTGTTGTAAATATACCTAACGTATCAATGAAAATATTTGCTTAAGTCTTAGTCAATCATGATTTTACATGTACATAAAGTGGCCTCCTTAAAATTTATTAGAGATTTCAATGTGGTTAAAGAAAATATTACGCACGACTTAGATACAGTGTCTTATGACTCTAGTTATATATTTAAGAAGACTAAAATTAAATAATTGTTGGTTTCGATTAGATTGGTCTGACTGATTGAGTCGACAATTTTAATTGCGTATTTGAATTTTGAGTTAATTATCATAGTATGATACCTTATAGCTTCACATTTACAAGTCATTTTCGAGACAAAACCTGAGTGGATTCGCGGCAAACAGAAGCCTCCGGAGGTATGGCGGCTTGTGTTGTGCCGTCATTTCAGATTAGGAAGAAGAATTCCAAAATGGGATAAGGCTTTGCTTGCTTACAAATAATGAAAAAGGCAAGAGTCAATCTGACTCAGAAAAAACCTTAGATTCACCTAAACATTTTTAACGGTATATGTTTTCCTCAAATGATTTAAAAGTCATCAAATCAATATAAGTAAAGAGAAGAAATTATAATTATTCAACTAACATAAGTTTAGACTCCGAATTCCAACATTATGGTTTTTGAGTTCCATTCTTTGAGTTCATCGCATGGGTGACAGACAATGAGAGCTCTGCCGTAGCATACACCAAACAAAATACATACGAGTTTAATAGTTTCAATTTCATAACCGAAGGCTAACTAGTAACACGTGGCAGAGGATGCACCAGCCACTTCCACCTGGCGTTTTATTAGGTGCTCCAAATAGAGAGATTTTTCAATATGACCGTCATACAAAACGGTACACCACATGTTCCTATATAAATGGTGAAATATGTGTGTTAAAATATTAATAACTTAAAAATTAAAATTTTTATTATTTACATAAAAAACGTAATGTACTATCTGTATTTCTATCACATCTAAAAATTTCTTCTCCAAATAGATGGATGGACGGCTTGATACGCGGTTATCATGCAATTGCTAATTGATTGTCGGTTATCTAAAAATGTGAACTCAAGACTTCACAAGGTGCCACGTGTCCAAATATGAAGAGAGAAGCGCGTAGCGTGTCGTATGCTTAACGGTTGGTTGCGCGTCGTTGGAGCCACTCTGTAGTCCACTCTGCCTCCTCACAGTGCTAAGCTCACCGGATAGTCACAAACACCCCAGCTGCCTTTAGCTTGCTATTAAATAAAACGAGAAATGCTCAGCAATCTTTCTAAAAGTAAGATTCTTCATCGATTCTCTGTCATTTTATATTTTTAGCACAATGTTTTATAAAGTTGTTAAAAAAATTAACATTCAACCGTGAGGTAATAAAGACTCTCTAAAAAGTTACACTTTAAAAGAATTTTCTTAACATTTCTCTTGTAATATTGTTTTGATTTTGAAGTACAAGATGAATTTTTGAGGATGCATTTTTTTTAGTTTTCCTTAGACTTCTTGTTTGAGTATGAGAACTGCATTCTTAAAAAACTTATTACATAAACAAATTAACTGTGATTTGTTAAAGATGTCTTATTTTCGTAGTTTTAAACGTAGTTAACTTAGTCAAGTTTGAATTTTATTCTCTGTAGTTTAGATGAATTCAGAGTAAAATATTGCATGAATACAAAAAATATCTTATCTTTATTTTAGATTTAAATGGTAGCATGTACTTTTTCAAAGTTAATAACAAAGACTAGAATTTTTTTACGTCTCTTGTAGAAAAAATTACTAGAGCGAAAGGGACTTAAGCAGAACAGGTGAACCATCGCTTCTTACACAAACTTGTATTAAGGATCCGACACATCATGGTATCATTGAATTCATTTTATAAGAAATCTGTCAACGAACACATTCATAGAATTAGTCAACCAAAAAAGAGAGAAAGAGGTTTGAAGCAGCCCTAATCGCCAGTAAGTGAGAGCGTTTACTTCCTAAACATTGAATTCAAAGTTCAAACGCAATGTCTTAAGTCACAAGAGTTGAATGTTTTGGGAGGGCAATTTGGTAAAACCAGCATCGCTAGGAAGAAGTAGAAGCTTTGGTTCTTTTCTAGAAAGTAGAAACAACTAGGAATCTAGGATAATCATGGGAAGGACAATAAAGCGCACGTCGCTAATAATGCGTCAGATTTAGCTGTCTTCCCAAAAGGCCCAAACCGACCAATAAACTACCTAAAATTGCAAGAACCGATGTGAAATCAACAGATATGGAAAGTAAAAGTTCGTTGGTGGGACCCGCATGCAAATATAATATATCTTATATGTGGGAAGAGCATGACCAATCAAATAAATGAGGGGTCAAGATCCTCTTCAGAGCTAAGCGGGCGGATTTTCCTGAGTAAGCTCATCGAACCATTTAAATTTTATTTAACGGTTATAAATAGGGGGTTTTTCTAAAAGTTATAATAATTGTAATCGTTAGATAAAATTTGAATGGGCAAATGGGCTTGCTCAGGAGGATCCTCACCCTTAGCTCGGGAGAGGATCCTAATCCATAAATGAGAATCGTCGTCGGATATTTTTTGTGAGGATTCCAAAGATTCTCAAATCACATTCATTCATCGTATATCATGTAATTAGAAATTATTGTATTTTTTTTATTTAAAATTAAATATAAACAGTACTTAACGAAAACTGACCTCACGATGTACGATGAGCGGATATGATTGGAGGATTTCTGGGATTCTCACAAAGAAGATCTGGTAAGGATCCTCTCTCCAATCAAATTGTCACCAAATGTGGAATTTTACTGAAGATTAGGAGGATTAACAAAAATACTATTTTTATTATCTATTTGTATTATTAATTGTATCATCTCTTTAATACAAATGAGATCCACATATGTTCGAATACGCTATCTTTATTATAAAAATGTTACAAATAGGTGATAATTGTAACATTACTCGATAATTAATTGGTAATTTAGAGAAGCAAGCTTGCATCTTTTCTCACCTCAACGTGACGTAAGCTAGGACGTAAAGATTGGGGGTGGATTTGAACACTGTACAAGGGTTGGGTTTTCTTTTATTACACAAAGGACAATTAACATTTGTTTTGGTGTTTATCCCTACCATTAGTCTTGTGATCACTACAAATTAATATTAATTTAGTTGGGATTAGTTTCTAACAACGGGTCATATAGGGATCCGAAGTTAAAAGACTTTTCAAATAGTAGAAAGCGAAATATATCACTAGTTTTTAAGCTAATTTTGTTAATTTAATTTGAACTTTAAATATTCCTCTGCACTTATAAGTAAGACGTTTTAAGTTCGATTGTAAAATTTGCACCACATTATTGTTAGCCCTATTGTAAAACTTAGCTCACTTTTAATAATTTAATATAGATAATATCGTTTGTTAAAAAAAAAAAAATTGAACTTTAACTGTAATAGATGAGTATGTGTGAGCAGAAAGTTACATAATTTGGTGAAACATACCCAAAGTTTTCACTCGCCTTGTTTTTGCTGCCGGCGAAATCAGTTTGCTTGTTTGTTCGCTCAAATGCAATTTTGTAGGCTTAGAAACCCCAAAAAAAACCCAAAACGAAGCTCTCATACTATAATCCTCAATTAGTTTTAGACGTGTTATGTCCTAACTTTCCCTTCGAAGCTTAGGTGATCCATCTAAACTAGATCGTACAAGTTGTATTTATATATATATAATAATATTTTATACTTTAAACTAATCTAAATTACAAGAAGGGAGATTCAAACTTAAATGCTTAAGAGAATATCCACTATAATTAGCCTATGTGACTACGCTCACATTTGCAACTAGATCATATAATCTATTTTCCTTGTCACCATCTTCCCAAACATTGTATCAACCCTAGATCAATAACATACGTAATCTCATGGTTCAATGAAGGGATATGGACAGAAAAGAAAGTCACGAGGAAGGGTGGAATACGAGTTAGAATTAGGATATGTGGGATAACGATATAGTTCTCTTTTTTTTCTTTTCAGGATAACGATTTAGTTCTCTCAATCATCACAAAAATGTGAAATTTAATGAATTATAAAGTAAACGACTCGATAAAAATCCTCTGCATTTAGTAAAACATAATGGAGATCTGAAGAGAATGAAGAACCATTCAATTCGTATCTGGTTGATTAGATTGAGAAAGATCTTTCAAATTTATTAATACTAAATACAAAATGATGGTCATTTATGCGTGTTTGCACGGTACACGCGCTCTTGAGCGACTCTTAGACACTACTTCCCAGTAGTAATAAGAATGCATTTACAGAGTCGTTTTTCTCTACTTATTTTTTCTACTAATCTAAACAAAAGGAAGTTATCCCCTTAGATATATTATCATCATGATTAATTGCAATCTAAAATTTTTGGAATATGATTTGTTGTGTATTGATGTCATATATAACGTCTATGTCACCAGACTCACCAAAAGTGGAAATCTTTTTCTTGTTTGATAAGTGCCCAACCCATGATGTAGAATCTGATAAAATTGTTTATTGTGTGCTGTAAGTATTGATCAAAAGGTAGTAACTAGTTCCTTTCCCATTAAACACAACGACACAATGCTGATTTTGGAGAAACCAACTAGTCCTTATCTAATACTCCATGACAGGGATCATGAAGACAACATTGAGGACTCCTTTCCCACTATTCCTATCCATCTTTCCCTAAGCTAAACTGTACACCCTAAAAAGAAGGTCAAAACAAACCTATTTATTGACCATAGATGCGAACCTTAGTCAGTATCAGCGACTCATCTTCGAGCTATGAGGCATATAGGACGAAAGCGCGCTAAGGAACCCAGTAAATTCAAAAAATGACAAACTTGTGAGCCTTGTGATTCCACCTTCCGCTGGCAATTAGTAAATATTTAGTAGTAATCACCAAGTATAACAAGTAAATAGAGAGAGAAGTTGGAATCCGCTCGAGGTAGCGTGATGTGCACGGACCAGGACCCAAGGAGCAAGTAGTGAGATTTGTTTTGGTTTAGTGGATGAAAAGAGAAAGCAAAGCAAGCAGGCGTACAAATGTTTTGACTTGGAACAAGTCCAACAAAATACTCGGTCCACCACCTCTCTCCCCTCCCACCACTCCCACTCCACCTCCCCTCTTTCTACCCTTTTCCTTAGTTGACCGACTTCACTCCTTTCACCTACTCTTCCCCAAATCCCTCGTATAAATACACCACCTCTCCTCCTCACTATCCCCACCACCAAAAAGTAGTGAAAGCAGTCTCCGTCTTTCTGTATCTCGACAACCATATCGATCACATATTTTCCGCGTTTTCGCGCACGAGAAATTACGATAAAAATGGCCTTAGAGGCTTTGAAATCCGCGAGTACCACCACTACTTCTTCTCCATCCTTTTCATCGTTTGAAAAGGTGGAGGATCGTCGCCACGGCAATCACCAAATCGACTCCAAAGAGCCATGGACCAAACGGAAGCGCTCTAAGCGGCTGCGCAGCGAAGACCCGCCAACCGAAGAGGAGTACCTCGCTCTCTGCCTCATCATGCTCGCCCGCGGCACCACTAGTAGCTCTGAATTGCCGCCGCAGCCGCCGTCCCGAGACCTTTCTTACAAGTGCTCTGTTTGCAACAAGGGGTTCTCCTCTTACCAAGCTCTTGGCGGACACAAGGCCAGCCACCGCAAGTCCGACTCTTCCGCCGCCGCCATGGTCGACCAGCAAATCTCCGCCGCTTCCGCCGTGACAACAACAAGCGGTAGGACCCACGAGTGCTCTATCTGCCACAAGACCTTCCCCACCGGCCAGGCACTGGGAGGCCACAAGCGCTGTCACTACGACGGCGGCAGCGCGGCCACGAGCGCTGTCACTACTTCCGAAGGCGGCGGTGCTGGGGCTTCCAGCCATAGTCAGAGTCAGCGCGGATTTGACCTAAACATGCCGGCGTTGCCGGAGTTCTGGCCAGGGTTCGGCGGGGACAAGAAAAGTCAACTCTCCGGCGAGCAGGAGGTGCAGAGCCCGATGGTGGGAAAGAAGCCGCGGTGGTTGTTGGGTGGAGATTAATTTGGATTTACGTGAATGACAAAGCTCCGCTGTATAGCTAGCTAGCTGATAGCTGCATGTTTTTAAATTTTAAATTTTATTTGTTCTTCATTTGATGGGTTGTTGAATGCTGTACAGACAATTCAATTCGTTCATTGTTTGTGAACAACGTTGTAGTGTCGCCACTTGGTTATTATTTAATTAATATTGTTTATCTTCAATTCGATTTGGGTTTTTTATTCCTTCATTTTTGTTACGTGATCTTTCTTATTTATTTTGCTTTGTATTTGTTATGGGTACATATGAAATACCCAAAACAAATTTTAATAGAAAATAGTCGAGTAATTAAGCTCCTTTGTGCTACATACGTTTCAGAAATGAAAAAAAAAAAAAAAAACTACATAACAATGTTTTTACGGTATGTATTTTGACCTATCATCGGATGTATAAGGGTTTGTTTGGATATGCTTTCTAAATGACAGACAGTGGTTTTAAAGAAAATATTTTTTGGTTCCAAAAGCACTTAAAGTGTTTTCTGTAAAAAGTACCAGTTATATGTTTCTTCTAGGAAGCACTTTAAGTGCTTTTTCAAAATTTACTTACATTTTTTCTAAGTTTTGATTCCAAAAATATTTTCAACAAAAACGTTTTCAGTTATTTTAAAAACACATTCAAACGAATTCTAAATTTGTAAAGTAACTGAAGTTCACATTTGTCTCTATATTGAGATATTCTCCCTAATCTTGCACAGCTCGATAACTATACATCTGACGGCAACCCAGATCTTGTAGGCATATGTGAATGTGGATTAGGATATTTTCAATTATTTGTCAAATCAAAGTCTAATTGCCTTTTTACTGTAATAATAATTGTCAAATCAAACATCAAAATGAAATGTAATTTAAATCTGTTTTTTATTTCAATTGAATATAAAAACTTCTTATTTATAGGTGATAAAAATTATTATTAAATTATAATACCAAGTGATTCTGTAATATTTTAATTAAGGAGCGGTGGGGGATACGTATTACTGTTAGAAATGCAGCTTGACAGCGGAGGCACAGCAGGCAGGCAGGCATGCATGTATGCCTCACTGGTGGTTTGATGGTGGCGGTGATTGTGGTGAGCCAAGTAAGTATGTATTAACAAACATGCACGACAAAGGCAGAGTATTTAGCCATTGAAGCCAAAGGCCAACACCGTGTGGGTTCATGCCTTTAATTACTTACTGCACATGTTGAGAGGTCATCATCAGATAATTATGCCACCATATATTACTACGTCCAATATTTATTAATATTTCGTTGTAAAGCTTTTGCTGGCTTAATTAGGACATTTGTGGCTGCATAGTATTTTAATATTTAATTATTGTGAGTATCAATTCACATGGACTAATTTTGTATAATTAGCATGTATTCTACCTTTTTAATTTCATTTCTCCAATCTAGTTTAGTGATTGGAACTTAGTTTAGTTGCCAGTGGCAGTGTAGTCTGTTTTTTCTATCTAAATTTGAGTTTTTATATAGATTAGAGTAACTTAAAATATTATCTTGTAAAAGAAATTGATCGGAACCTGTGTAGAGGATCTACGGGTGACAGTAGCAATGTGCTCTGTTTTTTCATCTAAATTTGAGTTTTCATACAGATTAGAGTATCATCTTGTAAAAGAAATTGATAGGAACCTTCTATCTGCTTGTAGAGGATCTATGGGTCATATTGTCATACAAGACAAAGACCTAGAAGAAATACTAGTGAAGTACGTGATTGGTAACTTAATCGAGCAAATATGACAATTAAACATTAAATATGTGGCCACTTAGTACTACGGTCTAGTGGTATTCTTGTACACTTGTAAGTGAGAAGTATTATGTTTGATTCTCGTCAAAGGCGAATTTGAACCACATTTTTATGGCTAGCCTATTGTAAGACTTAGCATACTTCCTCATCCCTTTATGTTGATATTCGTTTGTTCAAAAATAAACATTAAATATGTGATATGTCTAGATGAAATGTTTGTAGCTACATGCCTACATGCATATATGTAACATGTTGCTTTTTTTTCTTTTTCTTTTTGTAGCTTAGCTTAGCTTAATGGATATTATTCTCTAACAAAGACTCATCACACTGGTCGTGTTGATGCACTCCACTCCTACTACCCTCCCACTTTGTACGCCTTAGATTTAAAAGCAAATTAATCAGTAATTAATTGCTTATTATTATTGCTAATTAAGGTTTGATTTCTAGTGTGAATGCGAGGTTTAATTGCCGTGTGGCCAAAGCTGCTTCCTACAAACGTGGCCTTGACAATTAAACTTGCCTAATATCTTAGTTTTGTTTTTATAATAATTGCTTACTCTTGTTTAAACGGACGGTTTAAACGTGAAATGTAGGTATACAGGTAATAAGAATCAGATATTATATATATTGTATGGATGCGATCCTCGTTGTGCATCTTGATCAATTAGATCATTTCTTTGTAGATTTCTAAGCAAGGCTTTTGTAAATGTGTTTCCGGGTATTCCTTTTTTATTTCGTCCAAACGTAAGAGTTCCTCTAAGTCTATGAATTCTTTTAGAATACTCTTTCCTTGAATCTCATTATAAAAAGAATTCAGATTGCCTAGTATTCCACCAATTAGTAAACCAAGATTCCAGACTTTTATTAAATGAGAGAGAGATCCACCAAGGGAAAAATACTATAGATGCAAGATATAGAAGAGAAATTAATACTTTCTTTTTTACCATGTTTTCGTGAACTTCTTTTCCCGGAGAAGAAGCAATGACAGTATCTGGGGAATAAGTATCAGCTAACTCTGTGCTAGCAACCCTTATCGATCTCTTAACAACAAGTAGATCTACGCCAGGGGAATTAGTAATGTGTCAGGAGAAATTGGTACAAGAGGCTGTGGATACACTTCTTGATAATGGAATCCGCGGACAACCAATGAGGGACGGTCATAATAAGGTTTACAAGTCGTTTTCAGATGTAATTGAAGGAAAAGAGGGAAGATTTCGTGAGACTCTGCTTGGCAAACGGGTCGATTATTCGGGGCGTTCTGTGATTGTCGTAGGTCCCTCACTTTCATTACATCGATGTGGATTGCCTCGCGAAATAGCAATAGAGCTTTTCCAGACATTTGTAATTCGTGGTTTAATTAGACAACACTTTGCTTCGAATATAGGAGTTGCTAAGAGTGTGTGTATATATATAAGCTTAAAATGTAGCATGTTCTTAGATATGAATGATCAATGATTTATCAGATAAATGGATATATCACTGTTAGGTAATCTGAACAAGAATTATGTTACGCTATAAAGAGCGCAATTGCTGACAAAAAAACATATAAATTAATAGAGGCTGGATTAGCGATCCACTACTAATTACACCTATATTCACTTACACAACAACATTAATTGTATAAACTAGTTTGTCAATTATCTGATGTGGGAATATTCTCGTATTCAACAACTTCTTTTCGTCGTATGTCCTCACTTTACATCGAGTAAAGTTTTTTGCTTAACCGAATCGAAGCCATGTAAAGCTAAATGTGATATGTGATCATATATGAGCCGTACACTAATTTAGTATAGTTAATCTCTTTTATATATGCTTTTTAGCTCCTGCATGTACTAATTTTGATTAGAGAAGAATTTCCTTGCATCATTGGTTTTTATTTTTTATATTTAGACACCTACTAACATAACTCTTTGACAATAGAAAGTGTCTAATCTTTCCATAAGAAGTAATTAGTTATGAACACCTGCTTCTTCATCATAGTTTTTAGGGTGCTTTAGATTTTAGCCCTTACAATTCATTATTTCTAGATAAAAACTCATCTATCTTTAAAGATCCAGTTTAAGTCCTAATTTAAAATTTTCAAACATATAGTAACACTATTGACCTATTAATGCAATTTATTTACACTCATGCCACTCATACTTTATGGTCCATTTTTCAAATTCCTAAATTTATGCCAAATTAAAAGTAGTAGAAAAAGTGAAATAAAATGAAAAAAGTGTTTGCATTAACCGTATCTATGTTAAACTAGAAAATTAGTTTTTTTTTTTCGTGATATATTTTGTAGCAATTTTATCCATGTTAATTGGTAGGTAAATTAGTTTGTTCCAATTATTAAAAAAAAAAAATACTACACCTATATTATATATTTTGAATCAAATAACATTCCTCTAACTTGTAGGTAAATTATTTTCTATGTATTGTTATATATGTTAGACACGTTTTGTTGTTGAATAAACATGAGTGGAACATAATATTGTTGATTTTATACATCAAACTGCATTTCTTTTGTTATAGGTAAATTATTTTCCATGTACAAGTACTTATGTTAGGCAAGTTTAGTTGTTGGTACCTACACCCATGGTATAATTGGTGTAGGTAAATTATTGGAAATTAATTTGTAGTTAGGTAATGAACATTTTGCATCATTGGAAATGAACATTTCAAAGAGTAGGTAGGTAAATTAATTTGTTCTAATTATATAAAAAAAATTACATGACACCTAGTTATATTTAATTTTTCCAATTATTAAAAAAATTTATGCTACACCCAACCAAATAACATTTCTCTAACTTGTAGGTAAATTATTTTCCATGTATTGTTAAATATGTTAGGCACGTTTTATTGTTTTATAAACATGGGTGTAACATAATATTTTTAATACTATGCATCGAACTACATTCCTTCTTAATATAGCTAAATTATTTTCCATGTAATTAGTACATATGTTAGGCACGTTTTGTTGTTGGTATATTATTTTGCATCATTGTAAAAAAGAGATATTATATTACACCCATGGTATAATTGTTGTAGGTAAATTAATGTGCATGTAGATAATGAAATACAATGTTCTAATATATTAATAAAAAGGGATAAATTCAAAAGTATTCAAGAGTAGGGTGAAAAAACTAAATCGAATAGTTTTATGAAAATTCAAAACCTTTCTAAAAAATTAATATGCAATAAATTTTTAACATTAATGTCTTTTTTTTTTCTTGTTGCAAAATCATTTACTATTTCCTTACAATTAATTGTCTACATCAAGTATGTAATAGGGGTATTTTAGGCATGTGAAAAATGTAAAATGTGTGAATTAATATGAAGTTAATGAATTTGCTTATGTGGATCCTAATCATTGGGTTTTCTTTGAGTAAAAAAGTTATGTAGGGTTTTATATGAAGAAAATTGAGTTTGAAAGGCTAAA